TTTTTTTTTTTTTTTGAATAATAACTGGATGCTATTACCTTAAAAGCAAAACATTACAAGCAAAGTTACAAAGACTAAACAGAAAGTTCCTTCTGTTGGATAAATAAGAGGAGGATGATCAAGGATACAAAAGATGATGTTGATATTATGGCCTGATTTAGCCAAGTACATTGCTTTTTAATTTAGACTTCCACACTCTCAACATAATCATCAACTCACAAGACTCTTATACTTTGAAGCACATGGAAACATATGTTCCAAGTCAATTAAAAAGTTCTCATCTTAATTATTTGCTTTATATATATCATTATGTTCCAGGTTTTAAAGTGCCACCAAGAATAGTTCAACACAGTTACATTAATGAGTTTCTCGTCCTGTACCTCAATGTCTGAGTTCGATCCCACTCACATTTAAAGGTGGAGCCATGCTCCAACTAGTGTTTTCAGTAATGGCCGGCCATCTCACTCTCTCTCTCACCTCTCAACTATTCAGGGATGCGTTTCACTGTGCAGGATAACAGGAGACACATTGCTTCCAACTTTTATGGTTCTAGATTTTATATAATTTTCATGGATTATTCAATTGTCCAAAATACTACTCTAAGTTATCGGTTTCATGTGCTTCCGGAGAATGAATTCATCACTTGAATAAATTGGCCATTAAAACCCTTTTTATTTATACTTACAGTAGGGCCTGTTTGGCAGAGCGTCTGAAGAGTAAAAAGTCACGATTCAGAGTCCAAACGCACGTTAATGATTCAGCTTCTTGTTCGGACGAGCGACGGTTTTTAAGTCAAATGCGAATCTCAACATGCAAAAGTCACAAGTCATTTTGAATTACTTATGGAGGCAAAGTTACATATTAACTATGGAGAGAGGAGAGAAGGAGACAATGGAAAAAGAAGAGTGAGAAATTTATGAGTCTCACTTAGCTTATTTCAATAAAAAAATTATAAAACCACCCTATCAGATGCACGTTTCTATTTATAAGTCGCATGTACTGCAAACCCAAAAATAAAAAAATGCAATAAATTGATAATTTTTTTTTCACATTTGTCCTTATTAAAGAAATGGTATTAAAAATATGTTTTATATTTTATCTCATCTATGTATATTATTTTTCTCTATGCATTTATTAAGTCAACATGGATAAAATTGAAAAAAAGCTTCTTAATTATATCATAAGTAACTTCTAGTACAAGTGACTTATTAATACTACCCATTTTGATAATCTTACAAACTAAGTTTGCTTATTTAATCATAATCCAAATAACTCCTACTTTTACTCAATTTAGTTTTTCTGAAAGTCAATTCAAATATAAGTCACATTACCCAATCAAACTTTTTTAAAAGTCAAATTGAAAATAAACTACTTTTTTTTATCGCTAATTCAAACGGGCGCTATGTCTACATTTATATATATACTTTTCTAGTCTTATTTATAAAGTAAAAAAAATGTTTCTTTTAGTTCTATTTATAAGTCATTTTATTATATTTTTAATATGAATATATTAGAGATAAAGTTAAAAAGTAGTTAAATTTTAATATAGAGTTAATGGAATTCAATATTTTTCTTGATTTTGATAAAATATATGACTATATGTATCTGTGTTAAGTATCACTATAAGGAGGTAAAGATTTTTTTTCATGGGAAAAAGAGTAATCAAAGCGTCTCATCTCGATCATTCTCCTGAAATAACGCCTGTCAGATAACATTTCGAGGAAAATTTTCTCACAAAAGACAAATTATGAGAGACTATTTCAAAGATAAAGGGGAGAGAAAAGAGATGAGAATTTTATGGTTATTATGGCAGGCGATATTGTCGGTTAGTTCTGACTGTATTGCATTACATGCATATTCATGTAAAACTGGGACTCTGCAAAGAAAACCAATACAATTTTCCAACAATTGCACCCTTTTTGTGAAATTCTCACAAAAGTTTTTGTCAAAATTATTGGTTTATTACGAGAATTTGTCTCACATTTCTCATTGACAATGGATCTGTGAGAAATGCAGTATGCAGATATTTTTTCACAGAAGTTTACGTGAGAAGGTTGCAAATTTTCAGTTTTTTCACAAAATTTTTTATGAGAAAATCATTGTCGCAGGAGAAGTGATGATTGATGACAATGGGTGTAATTATACTGGCTCTAATAAAATGGATCTCATTAAAGAAATAATGATAAAGTATTTTCTCTAAGATTTTTAAGGATTTTCTCACGAATTTTTTCATGACAAAATCGTTGTTTTCTAGTAGTCCATATTAAGGTATTATCTTGATTAATATTCATTTTTGTCACGCAAATATAAAAAATAATTAATGCGTAATGAATTCCTAGCTGAGATTTATTTGAAGCATTCCCCTATTTAAGAAGTACTAATTTATACACATGCCCAATATCCAAATTCAGAAATAAATGAGGATCAAATTGCGTTTACTACATAATATATTGAGTTAATTGTTCGATCTTTGCAATTGAATAGAGACGGCAGGATTGGTGCAATTTGGCTAATTAATTGAAAATATCTGAGCTATGCTTGATGTTTTTAACTTAGAAATTAGAATGCATAGAGGAGGACTATGAGTTATTAAAAAAATGTGATCACTAAAAAAAAAAACCTCAATGACCAGCGAGCATGATTGATCCTGTCGCTATTTCCTATAATAAAATTCATATACTTATTATGAAATTTTTTTGGGTATCACATAATCATTTTTTTAAAATTTTAACTTCTCTGTAGACAAGGCCATAAGTAGTTTTTCGGTCGTGCAAAATCAATCTTTATAATATTGAACACCGATAAGTTTTCATTCCTCTCATTTGATGAGATCATTAGTAAGGGCTTCGGTAGAATATTTGTGCACAGTTAAAATTTCGAGATATATTACATCAACAATCAACAATATATTTAAATTTCTTATCCTCAATAATAAAACAATTAAAATTATATAAAACAATAATATACAAGATATAAATACGTGCAGAATATTCCTTGTCTAAAATAGTATGATATATGAATTACGAAAGTGGTTGTTGCAAGTATATGGATGCATGAACATGTGGAGATATGATTAGAAAGAGAGATGCCAAAACGAAGTATAATACTACTTCCGGTCCTTAATATAAGACCATGTTTGACTTTTATTTTGGTCCTAAATATAAAACCCCAATCCACTTTGTTTCTCATATTTATACATTTTTTTCCAAAGTAGCCCTTCTAATAATAAGAGTTCTAGTCAATACACTTAATTAGTAAGGATATTTTAGGAAAAACAACACCTATTTAGGACAAATAACTAACTCAACTTACTTCCTTAATTTCCTCACATTAGTTAACTGGTTCTTATAATTAAGACCGGAAGTAGTAATAACCAACAAGGACAAAGAAGCAATGCTAGGTTTGTCATGTCGTGGAGAATTTCAAATAAGGAACAAAAGCGAAAGAAACTAGGGAAAATTGGAAAAGAAAATCCCCCTATAAAAGTTTTATTCGTGAATGGTGAGAACAACTTGATAGAGTTTTAAATGCATAAATCATTGATATTTTACAAAGTTCTTATGCATAAAGTGCCAATATTTTAATTTAGGTTCTTTTTACCAATAAAATTTTGAATGTGAGGCTTTTCTCCAATCCCTCTAAAAATATACTAACATGTTATTTAAGTTTAAAAATATACATTACAAAAGCTTGAAATGCATAATCAATTTAAGAAAGTAGTTTTTTTTTTCAAAATTCTATGCTTTAGATTAATTTTTGAAATAAACATAGACATCAAAAGGGTGTTAGTAGAAATAATTTGATTTGGAGAATAGAAAGAAAGAGGGGAGAGTGGCAGACAGAAGAGTGACACAAGTTGACCAAAAGAAATGAACTGGTGGAAGGCTGTTTTATGCATATATTGGGATGTGAGTTGGGTTACCACTGCACCTTATTACCAAGTCAATGCTTATTGTACGGACCCCTCCTGTTGTCCTTCTAAAAGCATTCTCTCTAGATTCGAATCCTCCAATTCTTTTTCTTCTTCTTGGGTTTTTTTTTTTTTAACTTACAAGAAGTTGAATTTGCATTTGAATTTATTTATTTAAATTTAAACCACTATCTAACGTTTGATAATACATAGTCATATTTAACTAATGTTATATTGGTACATTAATATTGATGGCGAGTGTCAACTTTCTAGCCTCCCTTCAACACCGTGTTTTAGAGAATAACCCAAACATCATAAATATAATAAACGGTCAAGCCAGAAAGATAATGAATAATATGACTCCAGTTTCGTAATATTTTTCCCTTGTTATACATCAAGAAGATGTTTTCTGGTATTAAAAAAACATTTAATAAAGTTTTTTTATTCTTCCAATATTTCTCTACATATTCAATTGGATTTTGTGCAAATTTAAAAAAAAAAAAAGTTATTAGAATGTATGCACCGAAAAGATATCTTCCAACAGGCAGGCTCTGCAACTTCGCAGCACTTTGCAATCAATTTACTGGCAATAGAAATAAAAATATGTTCAACGCAACGGCCCACAAGACTAAGCCCAGCCCGTATTGGAAAATCGGGCTCACAGCTTTGAACAATAACATTAAAAGGCCCAAAATGATGGCCCAGTAAGAAAGAAATCGATCCAACCGAAAAGAAGTGACATAATGTTTTTGACCAAAAATATTAAATATTATAATTAGGCAAAGAAAGTTTATTGATTGAATGAAGAAAGCACGAGAATAAATTTAATATTTCTTTAATATAAGAACTAGTTGAATATTCAATTTGATTCTAAATATAAAATCTTAATCTGTTTTGTTTCTCATATTTTTGTATTTTGTCTCCAAGTAATCTTCATATTGATTGCAAGAATTGTTTCAATACATATGATTAACAAGGATATTTAGAAAAGACAATACTTATTTATTATAAATAACTAATTTAACTAATTTTTTAGTATTTACAAATTAGTTATTTAATTCTTATGTTAACGACATGAACTTGTATAATGTAAAGTATCTTTTAATACAATTTATTCAAGTGTGCACTTTAATTTGCATTATATGTCCAATTGCATTTATGGCAACAAACTCTCATATACAAAAGCAAATGAAAACATTAAACAATATATAACTGCTAATAATATATTAAAAACTCATACACATGGCTTGATTTTTTTAAATCCTTATTTGATTTGCAGTGGGATTAGGTTAATTAATTAATTGTCCAGATCTGATGGCAGCCTTGCTTTTAAATCCTTCCGCAGAATTTTGCCAGAGGCTGCTTTAGGAATAGTGTCTGTGAAAATAACCTTGTGGATTCTCTTGTAATACACCACCTGCCACAAGACAAAGCATATCCTTCAATCAAAATCAATTATTAGGTGATTTGTCTAATTATGAAACTAAACCATACCGACCTTCTCCGAAATCAGAATTTCTCTGCCTCGTTTTAAATTTAAATATTCAAATTAAAATGTTACATCCCAACTACTAAGTCAAATTTGTTCTATCTAAACTATCTAATATCTATCGATAATTAAAATAAAATAAAGCAGGATGAGTTGCCAAGTCATCGTGTGGTTGCTTATCTTAGCACACAAGTTTACAGGCAAGTTGTTACAAATTTAAACGTGCACATTGCATAATATAATATTCCTCATGCTTCTTGATTATTATAAGAAACTCCATAATATTTCTATAATATAAATGTGTTCATCTAAAATGTTTATTTTTTCAGCTAATATTTCCTAACATAAAATTTTCTAATTAATTAACGAAGCTTGTCTAATTAATAACTTTTATTGTGGATAATTTTGATTTTTTAAAAGATAACTAATTTTATTAATTTACGCAATATTGTTATTGGGTGTTTATGATAAAACCGGAGAGTAGTGTATAATTAACTTTGTTAATGGCGTAAAATTTTGACTTCAGATGATTAATTCCGACGTTATATACTCTTCTAGATCTGATGACGGTACGTAAGTTTTATTAATACTTCAAAACGGAACAAAATTTTTGTATGGGACAAGTTTATGAATAAAATATAGTTTCTGGATAGGTTGTTTGGACTAACTCTGGTTTTATGATTTAAAAATTTATAATGGATATAATTTATGAAAATCTTTGAAATTCGATGCACTGAAGATTGAGATTTTTTGGCCAACTACTCTTAATTAAAACCCCAAATTGTTTTTCCCACCTGAAAAGTTCCAAATTCAAATCAAATTTCCTAATTTGTCATGCAAAAAAAAAAAAGGAAATTGTCCCACTGGTAAATTAGAATTAGCATATCCAAATTGAATATCTAATTGTTCACACGAAAAATCTCTAATTTCCTATGTAGTGAAGATTACATTCTCAAATTCCACACTCCCACAAATTTCTCCCAAAATTTCCCCCTAAACAAAGTTCATAAATTTGCCTCTACTGGTTTTTTCCCTATTAATATAAATCAAAGAATCCTAAAAACATCATTTCTCTCCTAATAAGGCTGACCAATCGACCTCTAGACGGAAAAATTAAATCATTAATTACTGGCTTTACGAAGCTCTAACAATTTTATTTGTAATTAATGCTCATACACGATTTATGAAAATCCCACTATTTTTTTTCTGCCAACAAAATCCCTTATATTAAAGTTTTAACTTTTTTAATAATTAATACGTTTCAGACACTTGGAGCCGGCTTTGGTAAGTAATATAACATGTTAATTGGCCTTGAAAAAAAAAAAAATATCAGTCTGTTGACCCGTTTACGAAGCCGGCCACACAAAATCAAAATATGATTTATAATTTTATATCACGTCTGGGACGCAAGCATAACGGAGATCTGATTAACGAAAATAATAAAATAAAAGAGATGGAGAGAGGGAGCGAGGGGGAGATTAAGAACCTGTTGAGAAATGAATTGTTTAATGTCATCCTCAGAGATCTCAGAACCGTTTGACCTCACCACAAATGCCACTGGAAGCTCTCCCGCAGCCTCATCTTTCATCCTGATCAATCCAAATTATGTAAGAATAAATTAATTACCTCATAATGTGTTTGCTTGCTCGAAAATACTTTTTTTTTAAAAAGTACAAAAATCTTTTTTACCTATTTAAATCATTTTTAAAATTATAATTTGTAGAACAGTGTTATATTGAAGGGAAGCATATTCTTTAAAACTTCTAAATGATGATGATGATGATGAAGCTAAGGTAGTGAAATTGAAATTAGAAAGAGGAACTCACGGAACAACGGCAGCATCAGAGATGAACGGGTGGGAGACGAGGAGAGCCTCCAGCTCAGCAGGAGCCACCTGGAAGCCTTTGTATTTGATGATCTCCTTCAAACGGTCCACAATGAACACTTCCCCATCGTCGTCTACGTATCCTATGTCCCCCGTGTGAAGCCATCCTTCTGGGTCTATCGTCGTTTTCGTCGCCTCCGGGTCGTTTAAGTACCCTTACCAACCCCCCACCACAACACATCCAAAGTCAATATCCCACCCACTTTTGCATCTCTGTCTAACTTTATACAAGTCAACAACCTAACGACACGGACACCTCTAATATAAACCAAACCATATATACTTTTAATTTACGACGTGAGCTCTCAGTCATAACGATTAATATACTCCTCTGATCCTTAATATAAGACCTCATTGTTGAGTTGATTTTGATCCTAAATATAAGACCCATTTTTCATATTTATCAATTTTCTCTAAATTACCTTTATGGATACTCCCTCAACCATAATCAAGAAGAAGAAAAGGGCTATTAAGAAAGATGATTATGATATTTTAAGAAAAATATGTCATATTTCTTATAAATAACTAACTTACCTAACTTCCTTAATCTAATCAAATTAATTAAATGGGTCTTATATCAAGGATAGGAGGAGTATCTAAGTATTTGATGGGGTTAGTTAATTTAAATTAAATTTAAATTCAACCATTATTATTATTACCAGCTTCATTAAGTGTAGTTAGTAGTTGGTGCATGCCTTTTTATGCCTCCAGCGGGTTCCATATGTGGCCTCTCTGGGACTGATTTTCGGGCAATAACCTCACCAACCCCCAACGATAATGCATGTCAATTATCTTACTCCATCACTTTTGAGTCTTGTCTTCTTCTTCACCAATTTTGTTTTTTTATGCCCATAAATAATAACAACCTAGGTTCAAAATATAAACTAAACTTTATTGAACAGGTTTGGTTTTTTTTTGTAAGATAACATTTATTTTTGTTTAAATATTTAATGAATTTTTTTCCAATTTTATCTCCAAATATTCTTTTTTTCTCTTTGATTGATTTATTGCATCTTTTTACTTATTATCTTTATTAACAAGAACATATTTGGATAACAAGAACACATGCCTTACAAATTTATTATTTTAAACTTATTTTAACTAATTCTTGATAAACGTGGAATGAATATAGTTTAACTTATATTTTGAACCGGAAAAATATATAACTATATATTTAATATATGAGATGGGATTAATCAGTTCAAATTCAAGCTACAGGTACGTGCAGCTATTCCTATTCATAATCTCGGAATCCTGAATATCTAAGCTTGAGGGGGCATTAAGGGATATTTAGAATCAGCAAAAACTACTTCTAAAAGGTGTTTTCATGTGAATCAAGATAAAACTCATTTTATATATTTATTTTGTATACCACTCAAATACCCTTTAATGTTAAGAACGAGGGAAAACCAAAAAATTCAACATTTGGTGGTTGGTGAGGATGGAGACTCGATGATGATCATCCCTGGAATTGATGTACGTTTCTCTCTCCCTCCCTCCTCTCTCTCTCTCTCTCTCTCTCTATTTGTAGGACGGACATGTATAAAGTTTGCTATTAGATTAAAATTATTCAGAAGTGTTGGTGAGCTTTTTAATAAAATAAATAAACACAACGTCAGTCCATATAAAAGCTTAAGCTAAGATCATAAAAGTGACATACTGTGTAGATCGTTACACACATACATGTCAATAATCAAAATATATAATACCTCCGGTTCTTAATATAAAATCCTATTTAAATTTTATTTTGGTCCTGAATATAAGATCCCAATTTATTTTGTCTCTCATGTTTATATATTTTTTTTCTAAAGTAACCCTTATAATAATGATATTTTAATCAATACACTTGATTAGTAAGAATATTTTAGGAAAGACAACACCTATTTAGGACAAATAACTAACTCAATTTACTTCCTTAATCTCCTCAAATTAGTCAACTGACTCTTATAATTAGAACATGAGGTAGTACTATCAAATAGTGGTCTATTTGTGTCTACGTATATCATCTAAAACTCACCAACCCCACTAGGGTGGTGAACGGTGAGCTGTTTTATAGTTTATTTCGTCACTTTTTTTAAAAAAATCTTCCTTAGGTGACTCGTTTGTCCCACATAGCAAGAATCTTGTCAAGACTGATGCTAGGTCAGGGATTATGTTTCAGGAAAATCTTTTTTCATCCTATGTAAAACCTATTTAAATTATTTTAAAAAATTTAATAAGTTGATTGTTTATTATTATTGTGTAAAAAATGCAATCATTCTTTCCCTAAAATATTCATCTTTTAACTAGTAAGATCTTAAATGGTGGAGTCAAAGGAATAATAGCATATAATCATACTCCTCTGGTCCTTAATATAGGACTCAATTTTTGAATTGGTTTTGATCCTAAATATAAGACCCATTTATTATATTTATCAATTTTTTTTAAATTATCTCTATGGATACTCCATCAACCATAATCAGTTAGAAGAGATAGGGGTATTAAGAAAGATAATTATGGTGTTTTACGAAAAATGTGTTGCTTTTGTTATAATTAACTAATTTACCTAACTTTTTTAATCTAATTAAATTAGTTAAATGAGTTTTATATTAAGAATCGGAGGAGTATAATAGAAATTAGAAAGTAAATTGAACCCTTTTAAACCAAAAACAAAGAAAAAAACAAAAAACACCACCAAGGATGTGAGGTCAGCATGACGGAAAATGTCACCATAAGGACGTCTCCTAATTCCTAGCGCGCATTAGTTGTATGACATACTTTTTAAAGGCACTTCCACGTCTAGCCTAAGGAGATGGGTCACCAAGTTTCATGGGCTCATTTCTTCATTCTCCACGTACCCCTACCTGATGCCTACCTGCTCCTATGTTAGTACCAGGCCCCTTCAATTATTTCCTCCCGTCTATTAATATAAAGAAATTTAATTTAATCTAAAATATAAATATCCCAAATTATTTTGTTTTCAATATGATACATTTTAGCCCCAAACAATGGTTTTTTTAATATCAAATGATAGTTCCAATACACATTATTAACAAGTGTGTTTAAAAAATTAATTAATTCCAAGTAATTTTTTTAATATTAATAAATTAATAATCTAACTCTTATATTAAGTATTAGAAATAGTAATACTAATTATTATTTTCAAATATCACAATAACAAATATTTATTTAACTCGAACAAAAGTGTCTTTAAAATAATAAAAAGGAGTGGTAAAATATTAAAATAATGTGGCAAAATGTCTAAATTCACGAATATCAAGTTATGTCTATAAACTAATTAGATGTTTATAAAATTTATCAACCTGACTTCGTTGTTTCAGGTGATTTTTAATGAGACTGTCCCAATAAAGTTTGATAAATAAAATATATTATTCATAATAAATTCAAAATAATACTATGACTTATTAAGGATTTAATAATTTTTTATTAACATATGTAACAGGACGCCTACCTCATGCATATGGTGTGTGTACATGTTTGGACTTTGGACTTTCCCAATTTTAATGGAAGCGACAATCACAGGCGACATTATGAATCAATTAATTAATAATTTCAACTTAATTAATGATAATAATAATGTGTACCTTTCATAACTTGATTTCCTCTGATGCAGATTTCACCAGCTTTGTTTCTTGGAAGCGAAGCTCCCGTCTCAATGTCCACGATCTTCATCTCTGCGTTCCTTATCAAGCACCCGCACGCACCCGGTTTCATCTCCGCCGGCTCCTTCGCAAACGCCAGGCTTATCGATATAGGGCCACCCTCCGTCATCCCATATCCCTGCTCGTTAATTTCATTTAATCCCTCATTTAACTTTAACTTTAATTCCCTTCTATAATCCATTAAATCAATCGCAATTATATGTGTTTAATGAACATCATTTATTAAATCAACCTGTCCGAGCACGGCGTGTGGAAGCTTAGCCCTCAGAGCTTCTTGTAGCTCCATGCTCACCGGCGCTGCTCCCGTGACGATCATCCTAATGGACGACAGGTCGTACCGATCAACTTCCTCACTCTTCACGATGTTCAATAGGATGGGAGGCACGAACGAGGCCATCGTCACCTTGTAAGTCTCGATCATCCTCAACAGCGTGGTGACGTCGTATTTGCTCACGATCAGAATGGCTGCTCCGGCTCGGATACAACAGAGCAGAATGGAGTTAAGCGCATAGATATGGAACAATGGAAGCACACAGATATGCAAGTCGTCGCTGGTGGTGTACTGATTCGGGTTTTCGCCGTCCACGAGCTGAGCGCCGAAGGTTACCAGATTCTTGTGCGTTAGCATCACACCCTTCGGGACGCCGGAGGTGCCGGAGGAATACGGCAGTGCCACGACGTCGTCAGGGCTGATCTTGACGGCCGGCATATCAGCTTCGTTGGCTTGGGTGAGTTGAGAGAAATGTAAAATACCTTCCTTTTCTGGAAAAGTAGAATCAATGCACATGAGCGAAACGCCATGTGTACCCGCGAAATCCTTGATTTTCTCAACGAAAGCCGCTTGGGTTATGATCAGCTTCGACTTGGACGCCGTGGCTTGTTTTGCCAGCTCGGCCGGAGTGAATAAGGGGTTCGCGGTGGTTACCGCCGCGCCGGCGAAGGAGGCTCCCAGGAAGGCCATAGCGAACTGGGGACAGTTCCGGAGCACCAGCATGATGACATCACCTTGTCGGATGCCGATTTTGCTGAGTCCAGCGGCGACACGGCGGGCGGTGAGCTCAACGTCGGCATAGGTAAAGATCTCGCCGGTGTCGCCGTTGATAAGGCAGGGTCGATCTTTGACCTGAGATATGTTCTCAAAGACGTAGGAGTGGAGAGGAAGGTGGGTTGGAATGTAAATGTCGGGGAGCCTCGACCGGAAGATGAATTCCGTCGGAGGAGCTTCCATTAAAAACTGCAGATCAGTTTGCTGAACACACAAAGAGAAAGAAGGGAGAGAGAGAAATGAAGTAGGAGATTAGAACAATACGATGTGAAAATGGAGGTTGGTGGGTATGGGTATGGGTGTGTGGGATTCCCCCTTATTAGTGGCACCAAATAGCTAGAATAAATACTAATGATGTTGGTGGATTGTGACATCACAGATTATTTACAAGGAGAATCACAGATTTCGGTCAGTATGTATAAGGATTAAAAAATTTAATCAATTTATCAATAACATTTAGCATTTTTTTTGCCAACCAATAATATTTATAACATTTAAACCTATCATCTATATGTTGCCCAAAAAAGAAAAAAAACCTCATCATCAATACAATATTCGTATATTTTTCTTTTCTTCAAAATTGTTGGAACAACAATTCCTAATCCCTTTCAACTTAACTAATTAGATGTGGAATTTGTAATCGAGTCTCTTAAACATGTTGTTAAGAGGTTAATCCCTAGCAATGCAAAAAAAAAAAAATTGTTCGGAAAAAATAGTGACTTGTGAAATTTCTACACCTTTAAACTAATTAGTCCTTGGCTTTGTCCTACATGATCCACAATATGCCTTATATTTTGTGAAAGGTGTATATTTAAATAATTAATGACTTATAAATTAAAAAAGATGGAGCACAGTTTTTTCAAAGGAATAATTAATATACTATATATAGAAAATTAGGGCAAATTTTCCAAAATGTTCCGACAGAATGAAGGGGAGGGATGAATACATTGGCAATTTCATTGAAAATGAAAGAAAGCTCAAACTTGATTTAAAATTTTTGAATTTATTAACTCTATAATCAAAATATCTGTTACATATATAATATCACAGGCGAATCAGTTAATATGAAAAAACTAACATAAAATAAACTCGGACCATGTAATAGTTAACAGAATGTTTAATTACAATTGTCATTCAATGAATTAATTAATCATGGATGTTAAGAATATAGTGGGCTCAAGTATAAAACAGCCCAGCAGACTAAAGCCCAAACTGATCAAGTCCAAATAATTATTTCTAGTATGTTCTATTCATGATGTACAATAGTAGACACGTGTAATCATCTCTTGTAAAATAGGGTTTTTCCCTTGTCTATATAAAGAATAGTAAAAGGCCTTGGATGGTGCGCCTCTTTTCAGAACAATTCTATCCATTACAATCTTCTCTTGGTATCAGAGCCGAGCTGGTTAATAACCAATGGCTGCTTCCAATGCACCAAGTGAGTCACACAACAACCCTAGCTCACCAAACAATGCCCTGACTAAGAATGACGAGAGCTCTTTTGTCTCTGCCTCCATCTTAGCTAAACTTACAGAAAAGAACTCCCATACACAGCCTTGCTCTGTCAAGTTGGACATATTTAATTATTCTCTGTGGGTCACACATGTTCTTCCCTTTATCAAAGGTCACAAACTGGAAGGGTTCATAAATGGAACCAGGCGATGTCCATCTCAGTTTATTACAGAGGGAGATACAACGAAGATAAACCCAGCTTTTGAGGACTGGGTTGCAGCTGACCAACTCTTATTTGGATGGCTTCTAAACTCAATGACACTGGAGATCTCTGCTGAAATGACCTCTGTGTCAACTTCTGCTGGACTTTGGCTTGCTGCAAAAGAGATTGCTGGTGCACAAACCAAGTCACGGCTTCTTCTTCTTCTTCGTTCTGAGCTTCAAAGGACCAGGAAAGGATCTATGAAGATACCTGAATATCTTGCGAAAATGAAGACCTTAGCTGAGCAACTATCTATCGCTGGAAGTCCACTGCCTCTATCAGATCTGATTATTCAAGTTCTTGATGGTTTAGACGGAGACTACAACCCAATAGTTGTTCAACTTTCAAACCGAGCTGATGAACTAAGCTGGATTGAGCTGCAGTCTCAACTTTACACTTATGAAAGCCGTTTGGAGCAACTTCAACAAATTTCTAAACTTTTGCTCACTTTGCCAACTATGCTCGGGTTGATGATGCAGTTTCTTCCAGATCTGATCAAAGCTCCTTTTTCAGAACAAATTGGCGTGGAGGCAGAGGAAATAGAGGACGAAGGGGCAGAGGCAGAACTGGACGTGGTCCTGGCAGAAACAACAATAACAACAACAATGAGGGTCCTCCAAAATGTCAACTCTGTCAAAGGGTTGGTCATATAGTTGAAAACTGTTTTTATCGATTTGACAGATCTTTTGTTCCTTCAGGAAGCAGAAAGATGACCAGAAACACATACTCTGACTTAGACAGTGCTTATTGGGCCTATCCTGAAACTGTTAATGATGATGCTTGGTACATGGATAGTGGAGCTACAAGCCACGTGACTAATGACATCAACAAGATTGAAAATGCTTCTGATCCTAATGGTAAGATGAATATTATTGTTGGTGATGGTTTTAAATTAGGAGCTCGAAAAATTGGTTCTTCAACTATTCAGAATATTGGTAATCAGAAGGTTAAACTGAATAAAATTCTTTATACTCCAGACATTAAAAAGAATTTGCTCAGTGTATATCAAGTGGCTCATGATAACAAGGCTGATGTGATTTTTAATACTAGAGGTGTTTCTGTGAAGAACCAGGAAACAGGGCAGGTAGTGTTGCAGGGAAAACCAAATAGTGGAGGCATGTTTCGAGTGCTGGACTTGAAGGAAAATGAAAAGAAGAAAGACTTGATTCTGGCGGCAGAAGAAGATGTTAATTCAGTATCTAGTTTTAAACCTTTTAGTAGAACTTTTTGGCATTGTAGGCTTGGTCATCCTAGTGACAAGGTTCTGGATAGACTCATTGCAGAATGTAACTTGAAAGTTTCTATTAGCAATGAAAATGAACCCAGTTTTTGTGAATCCTGCAAATATGGAAAAATGCACTCCCTACCATTCAAAGTCTCTACTTCACATGCATCTAAACCATTAGAATTAATACACACTGATCTGTGGGGACCCTCACCACTTCAGTCTATGAATGGTTTTCGCTACTATATACTATTTGTGGATGATTACAATAGATATTCCTGGATTTTTCCCTTGAAAACTAAAGATGAAGCACTTCATATGTTTATTCAGTTCAAGAATTTTGCTGAAAAACAATTTGAGAGCAAGATTAAGATTATCCAAAGTGACTGGGGAGGAGAATATAGAAAATTTTGTAAGGTCTTAAACGAATCAGGCATTCACTTTAGACACTCATGTCCACATACATCTCCACAGAATGGAAGAGCAGAAAGAAAACACAGACACATTGTGGAAATGGGCTTGACTCTCCTAGCACAGGCTAAAATGCCTCTTTTCTACTGGTGGGAAGCATTTCACACTGCCTCTGAGTTAATAAATCGACTTCCATCGGCTGTTCTGGGTGGAATCTCACCATTTTTCAGACTCACTGGAAAACTTCCAGATTATGAACAACTCAAGATATTTGGCACAGCTTGTTACCCATGTCTTAGGCCGTACAATGAACACAAATTACAATTCAGAACAATCAAGTGTGTGTTTATTGGTTACAGCAACAATCACAAAGGTTACAAATGCCTAAGTCCAACCGGAAGAGTTTATATATCTAGACATGTGGTTTTTAATGAGCATGACTTTCCTTTTTCTGCAGGTTTTCTAAATAAGAATAAAATACCTGAAGAAGAAGTGCATCCCAAGTCCTTTTTTCAATCAGCCCTGTCGTCTGTTCCAAGAACTTGTCCTGCTAGTGATTGTCATGAGGAACACTCTAACCAGCCTGCTTCGGTTCAAGATGAACCAGTCACAAGTTCTCTTCCGGTTCTGGATCCAATCCCTGCACAAGTTGAACAGAGCAATATTCAGGAATATGCAACACAGCCTATTAATTCAGCAAATGAAGATTTGCAACCTTCATTGACTATGTCTCCTACACGCAGTCAAGAAGAAAGGAACAGTCCTATATCAACATCAACAACAGTCAATGAATCTCCAATCAGACATCAAATGGTGACTAGAAGTAAATCTGGGATCTACAAACCCAAACAACCATACATTGGAACTGTCATGACCAGTATAGATCCTTTAAAAGAACCTGTCAATATCAAAGAAGCACTGAACTCTATCGAATGGAGACAGGCAATGCAGAATGAATATAAGGCTCTTATGCTGAATCATACCTGGGTCCTAGTTCCCTATGATGGTAGAAGGAAATTGGTGGACTGTAAGTGGGTTTTCAAATCTAAACCTTTACCTGATGGATCTGGTTACAAGCCTAAAGCCAGACTAGTTGCTAAAGGTTTTCAACAAAGACCAGGTGAAGATTTCGACGAGACTTTCAGTCCAGTTTTGAAGACTTCTACACTGAGGTTTGTTCTGTCTCTAGCTGTCACATTTGGCTGGAAAATTAGACAACTAGATATTAATAATGCCTTTCTCAATGGTGATTTACAAGAACAAGTTCTGATGAAACAACCTGAGGGTTTTATATCCTCTAAGCATCCTAATCATGTATGCTTGTTAAGGAAGGCTCTTTATGGTTTAAAACAAGCCCCTAGAGCTTGGTTTGAGAAATTAAGGTTTACACTGAAGAACTGGGGATTTACTCACTCTAAGTGTGATACCTCTCTGTTTTTCCTGAAACGTCCTGAATGTGTCATGTTTGTTCTTATTTATGTGGATGATATAGTGGTTACTGGTAACTCACCAAGGGCTCTTGAACTGTTTATCAAACAACTCAACTCATGTTTTGCTCTCAAAGATCTCGGTCAGTTACATCATTTTCTGGGAATTGAAGCGTACAGAGACGACACTGGTCTATATCTGAAGCAAAGCAAATATATCTTGTCTATCCTGGACAGATTTCATATGTCTAACTGTTCTACAGTTCCAACTCCTATGGTAATCAACAGACATTACTCAAAGGACGACGGGATGCCCTTTCAAGATCCAACTATGTATAGACAAGCAATTGGGGCCTTGCAGTACCTAACTAATACCAGGCCAGATATCATGTTTGCAGTCAACAAATTAAGTCAATTTTTATCATCACCGACAGTCATTCATTGGCAAGCACTCAAACGGATTTTTCGGTACCTGAAAGGAACCATGAATTTGGCGTTGCACATCAAGCCGAGTACTCATCTCAACTTACAAGGCTTCTCGGATGCCGATTGGGCGGTTTGCCCCGATGATCGACGCTCGGTCGGTGGGTACTGCGTCTTCTTAGGAGACTCTCTAATCTCCTGGTCTGCCAAGAAGCAACATGTTGTGGCACGATCTTCGGCTGAATCTGAATACAGAGCACTGGCTAATTTAGCTACTGAACTCGCCTGGTACCAATCCCTCTTCGCTGAGCTTGGAGTCCGACTGAAACAGCCACCGATTGCATGGTGCGATAACCTAAGTGCTGCGGCCTTAGCATCTAATCCGATTTTTCACGCCCGTTCGAAGCACATAGAACTTGATGTTCATTATCTCAGAGACAGAGTCATCGATTGGCACCTCACAGTCAGATATGTTCCTTCATCTGAGCAGCTCGCTGACATCTTTACCAAGGCCTTATCACAATCGAAGCTCTGGGCTTTTAGAGACAAACTAGGCCTCATTCATTCACCGAGGCCCAGTTTGACGGGGGATGTTAAGAATATAGTGGGCTCAAGTATAAAACAGCCCAGCAGACTAAAGCCCAAACTGATCAAGTCCAAATAATTATTTCTAGTATGTTCTATTCATGATGTACAATAGTAGACACGTGTAATCATCTCTTGTAAAATAGGGTTTTTCCCTTGTCTATATAAAGAATAGTAAAAGGCCTTGGATGGTGCGCCTCTTTTCAGAACAATTCTATCCATTACAATCTTCTCTATGGAAAATAGTTTTTTGGGAAAAAATTATAGAAAATATTTACGATTTAAAAGGTTTTTCAGTTTCATTAAAGACAGCAGGAAGTCATTATGTCACTCGCTGTGCGGTAATCGAAATTCAAAATGCGTTGATGGTAATACGAAGCATGAACACATACATATAGAAACATCACATTAGTAAAGTATGATAATATATTTATTACAATTTTCAAAATGGAATGATATTTACGATATAATTATTTTAAATTATACTTCTTCAGTCTTTAATGTATGAGCTAATTGAGGAGTTGATATTAGTCCTATATGTAAAACCTACTACTTCCGGTCCTAATTATAAGATCTCGTTTGTAATCTACAAACGAGATCTTATAATTAGAACCAGAGGTAATATTTCACATGTTTATCAATTTTTTTCAAATTAACCCTATTAATATTCATCTAACAATAATTAAAAGAGAGAGGGAGAATTAAAAAAATGCTTAGTGTAGTTTACAAAAATATATATTATATTAACTAATTTAACTAATATCCTTAATCTATTTAAATTAGTCAATTAGGTCCATTAGAAAATGGTATTTCTTAGATTAACTAGTTTAATCAAATAAAAATTACACATATAGTTCGTCATTGAAAAATAGGTAGATCAACGGACATAAAAGGGGAGACAATAACATATGAGAATAACCGGACAGAAGCCTTGATAGTTTAACGTGCATTATTATTTTTTTGCAAAAAAAAAAAAAAACACACACACACACATTATTTTTAGGGAGAATTACGATGAGGTCTCAAAGAAAAAAATAATTACAAAATAAGTTTCAAAAGTTGTCATTTCTTATTCTGAAAATTATCATTACAAGTCGTTTGTTGGGACTTTTTAGTAATTATTTTTTTCTTTAAAATCTCATTGTAATTCTCTTTTATTTTTAATATTTAACCATTTAACAATTCATTATCTAATCTGGTCAACCTGTATATGGGAGACTATGAGGTGTGGGAGGAGGGCTGGCTGAACATGGAATCCTTATGAAAATTTATAAAGTCTATACGCTTCAATTATCATCTTAAAAAGAATTAATTAAGAAGATAGAAGAGATCACATACTTCAAATATTAAACAATAATCGTCAAATTATTTAATTATGGTGATGACTAACCACTATGCACCATTATCATCATTCTCTTTCTATATGTATAAATTCCTGAAAAATTTATTGCGATTCATAAATTGTAAATGACGTGATTTATTATATTATATTATATTATATATATTAACATAAATGATTATATGTGATTTTTAATCGGAGTGAAATTCTAATTTTAAAATTCAAAACCCCAAATGTAGATTCTCTGGTTTTAGAAAATTATATTTACTATTCTACATAAGCCAAGCCATGGCTCAAAAAAATTGCTTTTATATATTAGAAAAAGATGGTGATGATGATACACTGATGATATCGATAAATTAACTTATATTATCAGATAACCTAAAAACGTTTTGGAGTCAGTGTCACGTACCCTTGGAAAGTCTTGATGGCAGATTCCTCACTTTTAAAACTACTACCCAATCCTACTTTCTGTTTTAATTATAAAATCTGATTTACATTGTAAATTGTATTATAAATTAAATCTTATAACTAAAACTGGAGGTAATATTTACGAAATAAAATTGGTGACTTTTCAATTTTTCATTATCAAGTCATAGGTCATTGCCCTTGAATACAACTACTTAAAAAAAACTATTCATATTACGCGAATAAAAAAATTACCATTCTGGTCCTTAATATAAATCATTTGTAGTACATTTTCGTATAAAAAATGTATTAAATTGATTTTTTAAAATTTTACTCTTATTAAAATTGACAACAACAAAAAAAAAGCTTGCCACATAGTTGAGGATGGACCTGGAGACAACTCATTATAAGACAATTTTCTCCTCATAATATTCACCCTTTTAATACTTAAATGATAATAATATTTTGCCGCCCTTTTAATATTTCGGGGTCATCATCAGCGTGCCTAGAAAAAAATCAAGATTAAAATTATGCACCTTGACCTTTAATTTCATCATTCATTTGAGCGAACTTATGTCACTATTTTAGTATAGCTTAAATGTATACTTGTTTTTTGTGTTTGGAACTATTCTTGGGAGTTCCGCATCACATTTCTTTTTTGGGGGAAAAAAAAGCTTCATGGGCCTACCAAACCGGGCCTCAACATTGGCAGGGAGTTTCATATTGGGCCTAGCAGGCATCACTCGTTGGGGAGCCTTGCTCTTAGGTCTTTGCGCAGAATCTTGCCGGAGGGTGACCTTGGAATAGAGCCCACGAAGAAGACCCTCTTGATTCTCTTGTAATACACCACCTGTCGCACAAAAAACCCAAATTTGTTTCACCCAAAAATGAAACCCAAGCTTAACTCACATATTTAACACAAATTCTAATATTCATTAAATAAATCATATATACTCTTAATATCCTCCCTCCCTTCCTCATTTGATTATGATTGAGGGAGCATCCATAGTGGTAATTTAAAATAAATTAATAAATATGATAAATAAGTCTTATATTTTGGTCCAAAATTAATTCAAGAATTAGGTCATATATTAAGAACCGGAAGAGTATCTTAGAAACTTTATTACAAGTAAGAGGGACATTATTTTGAGGAAAACAAAAAACAAAAAAATCTCTCAAAGAACGATCATTATGGCCTGTTTCTTGAAGCATGCAGAGCAGAAATAAATTCCTTTTTTAACAAAATTATTCTGAGACGCACTTGAGACCATTTTAACAAAGGAATAGAAACATTATAGGACAAAATTAAGTGATGTGATTACACGTTTAAAAGTATAAGTACCTTCTCAGAGATGTACTCCATGATTTGATCTTCAGAGATGTTGAAACCTTCTGATTTCACAACAAACGCAACAGGAGCCTCTCCTGCAACTTCATCTTTCATCCTGAAACCAACCAACCAGCCAGCCAGCCAGCCAGCCCTAGTTAGTTATAAATTAGTAAATTACAAATATTTGATTCTTCAATTTATGATATAAAATGCATGGGATGAGGAAGAAAGAAGCTAAGGAAATATGTAGATACGGGAGAACAGCAGCATCAGAAATGGAAGGATGAGAAAGAAGAAGAGCTTCAAGCTCAGCAGGAGCAACTTGAAAGCCCTTGTATTTGATGACTTCCTTTAAACGATCCACTATGAACAGCTCTTCATCATCGTCCACATATCCAATATCACCTGTGTGCAGCCATCCTCTTTCATCTATTGTTCTCTTTGTTGCTTCTGAATCGTTTACATAACCTGCACACCAAGTGTTTGTTTCTGTCACTCTCCATCATTTCTCATCCCAACTCTCTGCATGTGTGTGTGTGTGTGTAGTTGCCGCGTTGTTACTGACGCACCTTTCATAATCTGATTGCCTCGAACACAAATCTCGCCCGCTTGATTCCGGGCAAGGGATATGCCAGTCTCAGGATCAACGATCTTCATCTCAGCGTTTCTTACTATGCTCCCGCACGCACCTGATTTCACCTCGCAAGCCTCTTTAGCAAACGCTAGGCTCATGGCCACCGCTGGACCAGCCTCCGTCATCCCATAAGCCTGCACTTTCACATCTCTTACTTCAAATTAAATGTAAATCTATGCAATTACTTACATTGGAAAATGAACAGCTAGCTTGGTCCCGCTTCTGCGAGTCATTAACGTACATTTGCATGCACTGAAAACCAATGAACAAAACTTACCTGTGCAAGACTAGCGTTAGGAAGCTTAGCCTTCACTGCATCTTCAAGCTCTTTCCGCAAGGGGGCTGCCCCGCACATGATCATCCTTATCGACGAGACGTCGTATTGTTGCAGGTTTGGGTAATTAACTATGGCCAGCAGAATCGGCGGCACGAACGGCGCAACCGTTACGTTGTGTTTCTGAACCAACTCTAACATCGTCGCTATTTCAAACTTGGGTATGATCAAAATAGCAGCACCGACTCGAAGCCCACATAGTAGAATGGTAAACAACGAATAACTGTGGAACAGAGGACAAACGCAAGCAATCACATCCTCCTTCTCCAAATACAAATTAGGGTTTTCTCCGTCAACCAGTTGAGCCACATTTGTGACCAGGCCTTTGTGGGTTAGCATCACTCCCTTGGGAAGCCCTGTGGTGCCTGATGAATAAGGCATCGCGACGACGTCTTCCGTAGATATCGTCACCGGAGGGATATTATTCTTCTCGGCCTTCATCAAATCGGAGAACCGTACGAAATTAGACATAATATCCTCCTGCGGCAGGGTTGCCTCGTCATCGTCGATAAGCACCAGTTTGACGTTGTTGTCTCTCGCGAAATCCTTAACCTTCTCGAGCAAGGACTCGTGCGTGATGATCAGCGTGGTGTTTGAAGCGGTGGCTTGCTTTTCGACCTCCGCTACGGTGTAAAATGGGTTGGCCGTCGTGACGATGACTCCGAGGGAGGAAGCTCCGAGGAAGGAGAAGACGAATTCGGGACAGTTCTGAAGGAGAAGCATGATGACGTGGCCTTGTCGGACCCCAAGGTCGTTGAGAGCGGAGGCGACTTTTGCGGCAATAAGCTGGACATCGGCGTAGGTGAATGTCTGGTTGGTTTTGGTGTTGATCAAACAGGGACGGTGTTTGAATTGCAAAAAATTCTGGAAACAATAAGAATGAAGTGGGAGGTGGGTCGGGATGCAAATATCAGGCAGTTTAGAACGGAAAATGAATTCATCATCACATGCAATTCCTGTTTCCGCTTCCGTTTCCATTTGTTGTTTGGTGGCCTTGAATTTGAGAAGCTCCATATATGGGGACCAAGCGAGTGAATTAGAGCCCGTTATGGTTTCAGAAAGGAGCTCGATATTTGATGAAAACGTACGTGGAGAATAAGGAAGAGGTCAAGGTGGACACTTGTCAGCGTATAAATCCCAGTTTCAAATTCTACCAATGTCTACTCTCAACTTATATACTCCTCCGGTCCTAATTATAAGACCCAATTGACTTATTTGAGGAGATTAAGGAAGTAAGTTAAATTGGTTATTTATAATAAATAAGTGTTGTCATTCCTAAAATATCCTTGCTAATTAAGTATATTGGCTAAAACTATCATTATTAGAAGGATTATCTTGGAAAAAAATATATAAATATAAGAGATAAAATGGATTGGAGTCTTATAATTAGGACCAAATAAAAAGTTAAATTGGGTTTTATAATAAGGACCGGAAGAGTATCCCAGTTTTCTTCCATCTTCTGCCTAATGCTGAAGGCCTTTTTCTTCGTTTCTGGAAAAAAAAAATGGATCGAATTAAAAAGTCAAAAGAAACTTCCACGTGTACTAAAGACACTAAACGGCGCTCACATATGTACAAAATGGGACTTGGATTCTCTCCACTTTCAAATTCATACAAAATGACCCAATTAATATCTTTTACTTTGTATATAAAATATATATATATATATATATATCTCTCTCTCTCACCTTTAAGTCTCTTGCTTTGACTCCAATTTATGATCTCCATAACAGCCTAGCTTTCTCCAATTTCCATGCTCTTTATTACTCTTCCAGTACTATTTATAAGGCAGAGAGAGAATGTTCTTTTTGTGTTATTTATAAGTTACTTCATTAAAGTTTTAGTATGAATGTACTATTTTATTTTTCATTTATTATAGTGTAAATTATTATAGTGTAAATAATTATTTTTTAAAAATGTATATATATTAAATAAGGATAAAATTAAAAAGTCATCATATTTTAATGAAGAGTTAACACGGTTTAAGATTTTTCTTAGTCTATACAAAATATGTTGGAAGTGCTTTATAAATAGAACCAAAGCTTTTAGCCCACTGTTTCAATTCGATCTATATACTACCACCAACCTTCTGTTGGTTACTGTGTCCCCTGATTTTTTTTTTTTAATTTACTTGATCATTGATGAGCTTAATTAAAAGTATTTCCCCTAAAAACATTTTCCGCGTTTACCTTTCTTTTTCTTTTTCTTTTTTTGATAGAAAAAGGATTGCTCCTTTTTCTTTTACCTTGAAAAGCTGAAACCTTTTTAGTCTAACTAGCATGTAATCTAAATAATAGGATTTTGTTGTCATAATTCAAACAAATATTCCTTATAAAGGATTTGGATTCACAATCTCACATTTAACAAGATTTAAGAGAAACTTTTAGTGTTATCGGATTGCAAAATCCCAACATTCAAGAAATTAGGATTTCACATAATGTTTCGAGAATTTTTATAATCCACTTGAGAAATTAACCAAAGTAGTTGGATGGTTACAAATAACAAACTACTTTCTTTTCTATAGTTAAAAATAAATAAATATCTATTTATTTTATACTTCCTCGTTCTTTTTTATAAGAAACCATCAAAATCGCATGGTTCAAAATGCTAATTAAATTTAGTTAAAAAGAATAAATGCTAATATATACAGACACGTAGATTCAATTATACCTTATTATATTTATACAAAAAGTACATAAGAGATAATGAGTGAAAATTTATTGCAGAGAAATAACAAGTGAATATATACAATAACAGTAAAAAAAAAAACTAGTTTAAAATTTTAGATAAGAAATAATTAAATGAGATTGTTTCTTATCATAACTTCATAAGTAATGGAGGGAGTATTGTATTTCTAAATCCATTGTTCACTGACCAACCCCTAATTCAAACTACCTGGTTGGATGCAAGAGAGCTTGGTCAAAATATTGCATTTATTTATAGTCACTCCAATTATACAATAATTTATGAGTAAATTAAGTGTGACACCTTGGATGAGTTTTCCTCTCACATTCCACATTTACACGCATCATCATCACCATCATAACAACAAGTACAACAACAACACTACACCCCGTAACATACCAGGCCGGGTCATTTGGGCCCATATTTGTGTGGGCTGGGATTTGGACCTAACAGGCCTAACTTGGTATGAGTCTTGCTCTTAGGTCTTTGCGCAATATCTTGCCACTGGGGGCCTTTGGAATCGAGTTTACGAAGATGACCCTATTGATTCTCTTGTAAAATACAACCTGCTCAAACAACCACAAAACAAAACAAAAAAGCCGAAGTTCACTAACAATAACGAAAGAGCGTCAGAAAATGCTGCTTACTTTTAAGATCATTGAATTTCAAATGTTCAACAATGGTTATTTCAAAAAATTACAGACGAATTTAGGTAAAAAAAAAAACCTAATTAATTCGTTAAATTTAACTTATTATTAGTAGGTATCTAAAAGGACTTGTACAAAAACATTGGATAAGCTATCAAGTTTTAAATTTTACTCGTATATTACACGAGGACTTGTATAAAATTCTCAGCCAAACTCCAGAAGTTTACAAATTATTCTGCATATAGTGTTAAGCAAGTTCTTCAAGAAACCTACTAGTAAAAATTCAATTTTTGTTTTTCCCGAAAATGTCAATTCAAATTTGAAGGATATGTTAGAAATTAATTTTCTTACTCGACATTTATACTCTCTCTGTCCTTTATTATAAGATCTTTTTAACTAAATTATGCGGTTTAAAAAACAGTTAAAATTAGTTAAAAGCAATTAATATGTAGGAAATATAATTTTTTTCAAATATACACTATATAAATAAGTAAATGTGAGAGAGTAATAGTGAGATAAATAAAAAAAAATGGATTAAATGTATTAAATTAAGAGTAAAATAGGTAACAATTCATTAAATGCTTAGACAAATTCAAAGAGATGTTATAAAAAAGAACAAATACATTAAAAAAAATTAGATCTTATAATAAAAAATAAAAAGAGTACATAATTTTGACCAATTAATTAATATGTAGCTGTGGCTTTTTAGGTGTGTGGAGATAACAACAGGAACACAAAAATATTTATGGTGACACCCTAATTCAAGTCTTGGCTTATCAAGTCAGTAAAGTTTCGCCAACTTCTGCCCTCATTTATTTAAAGCTTTTGGACAAGATACAGAGGCAAGCAGGCGCCCCTCCGTCGTTATGGGAAGAGACGAAAGGGGAAAGGAAAACATCAAGCGCAGGTACGTGTATGTTCATTCTGGTGCGATGGGTTGACTTCTTCTTGTGATTGTAATCAGTCTAGTTTATTAGAAATTTTAAAAATTTAAGAATATATGATCCCAAATTTTCGCCAAAAGAAGAAAACATAATATATATACACACACATATGAAGCTTTTAGGAGAATTACTGTGAGGTTTCAAGGAATTAATATAACTACTACTAAAAAATCCAAATAATAAGTGAGCATCATGGATTTTGTCGTCATTTTCTGTATGAAAACTTATAATTCACATGTTATGATAATTTCTTTTGAAGACCACATAACGATCTTCTCCTTTTTTTTTTGGGATGAAAACAAGTTAATTTATATCTAACAAATGAAAGTGAGAGCGAGAAGTATATAACATGAAGCATAAGAAAAGGGACATTGCCTGTTTGGAGATGTAATGCTTGATTTCATCTTCGGAGACCTTAGAACCATTTGATGCAACGACAAAAGCAACTGGAACTTCTCCTGCAGCTTCATCTTTCATCCTGCACCATGAAAACCAGTCAACCCCTACCTCATTCTAACCAATGCAATAATAATCTATATATATATATATATATATATATGCAACTTTTGATCTTTAATATAAGATAATATAAAATGCAACTTTTAGTTCAATGTAAACTACACATTAAACCTTATATCAAAGACCAGATATAGTAAAACAGAGTTCCTCACTGTACTCGCTCTATCAAAATATAATGTAGGTGTGCGTGATGTACATAAGAACGAACGAGATGAGAGAAGGAAATAAGTAAGGGTGTGTGCATGTACGGAACAACGGCAGCATCAGAAATGGAAGGATGAGAAATGAGGAGAGCCTCAAGCTCGGCAGGAGCAACTTGGAAGCCTTTGTATTTGATGAGTTCCTTTAAGCGATCCACAATGAACAGCTCCTCATCATCGTCTATGTAACCAATATCACCTGTGTGCAGCCATCCCTTTTCGTCTATTGTTCTCTTCGTTGCCTCTGGATCGTTTATGTAACCTGTCCACGTCATCATCACCCACTTGATCCATTGTTACTATATACTAACTTCTGATACTAATTATAAAATCTCGTTTATAAACTACAAATAAAATTTTATAATTAAGACCGGATAGTGTGTGTGTGTGTATATATATATATATATATATAGAGTACTATTCTGATAAGTCATAATCCTTCTAGCTCTACTTCACAACATTTATGATCTGTAACATCGTGCATTAATAATGATACATACATGTATCTATCAGTATAATTACTCCGTTCGGTCTATAATATAAGTGGCTTCTAAAAAATGGCTTAATCCGAAATATAACCTACTTAAAGAGTAATTAATATTTATTTGTCAATTTTATCCTTACAACTAATGTTTAAAATTTAAATATAATGTGCCTCCTTTTATTTTTCTCTCTCTTTCACAACCTTTTTTAATATAGGTAGAGTTGGAAAAAACTTTCAATTTGAAATCGATTTAATGAATTAACAACGTTTTTATGTTCTGATAATTAGCTAAAGTGACTTATATTGTGAATAGAAAGGAATATGCGTGTGTATGTAATGTGGTCTCCCCGTGAAATTGAGTAAAATTCAGTCCCCTTTGAATGAGTATACACTATACAGTTCTGCAGACGTCTTTGGATGAATATTTAATTAATCATCAATTAATTGGAAATGACTATTTTGTCTTATTAATTTTTATTTAAAGACCTATAACACATGTTGCATTTTCAGAAAAGCATTTTTTTAAATTTAATTTTCTTGTTCATTTCATTCCATTTTCGCACGTTAAAAAAATACTACCTCCGGTCTTTAATATAAGACCCTGTTTGATTTTTATTTTAATCCTAAATATAAGATCCCAATCTATTTTGCCTCTCATATTTATTCAATTTTTTTCAAGATAATCCTTCTAATAATTATAGTTCTAGTTAATACACTTGACTAGTAATGATGTTTTAGGAAAGACAACATCTATTTAGAACAAATAACTAACTCAACTTACTTCTTTAATCTCCTCAAATTAGTCAATTGACTCTTATAATTAGGACAGGAGGTTGTATTTGTATACGTACCTTTCATGATCTGATGTCCTCTGACGCAAATCTCACCGGGTTGGTTGCGGCCAAGGGATGCGCCGGAGTTAAGGTCGACGATCTTCATCTCGGCGTTTCTTACGACGGTCCCGCACGCACCTGATTTTACCCCATACGCCTCTTTCGCAAACGCTAAGCTCATTGACAGCACTGGCCCTGCCTCCGTCATTCCATAACCCTGCACTTTCACCATCATTCAGAGTTTCCAAATGTATATATTAAGAATAAACTACCAGCAATCAATTTCCAGGACAAACTTTTAGATCCCCCTGGTACAAAAACAGTTAAAAATGAGAGATGAAAATTAAGATTGTAGTTAAAAAAATTATTAAAAAATATTTATTATAAATAATTACTTATTATGTAAGACTAAACAAATCCATAAAAGTAGAATTGGGGAATGCCATCTTTCTCCAATAGTATTTCTCAATTTCATATATATAGGTTTGTCTAATCCCATATAACAAATAATCTCTCATACTAAATATTTTTTTGATACATTTTCTCAATCTCGCTCTTAATCCTTATCTTTTATTTTTAATACTTTTGAATCTTAATTATGTCTTTTAATAATCAGTCATTGTCAGAATTGTATTTCCCACTTAATCTTCTCTCCTTCTCTCATCTTTATCGTCGAATAAAAAATGAACGGCTGATATTCAGTATCTTAGGGACAAAAATTATGGTTATGATGATATTACGTAAAAATAAATAAATAAATAATTTTTGATCCGAACATTTCGTAACTTAAAACTAAATAAAAATTACAAAAATCAGGACTCTATAAAGTATCGAATTTCAACTATTTTTTTTTTTATAATGATCGCAATAAGATGAGGAGAGGAGAAAAAAAAAACGTATTACCCCTGCTTCTTAATATAAAATTTTGTTTAACTTTTATTTTGATTTTAAATATAAGACCCCAATCCACTTTGTCTGTCATATTTATCTATTTTTTTTCTCAAAGTAGTTTTTATAACAATAATAGTTCTAGCCAATATACTTGATTAACAAGGATATTTTAAAAAAGATAATACCTATTTATTACAAATAACTAATTTAATTAATTAGTTTTTTTAATATATTCAAATTAGTTAACTAATTGTTATGTTATATAAATATCGGAGTTAGGATAAGGAAAGCATCCAAGTCCATATATGGCTGTCGTGCTTTTGTTTCTTTCGTTACATTTAATGCAAATTTGACTCTACCCTATGCAAACCGAATTTATTGGTGTCTATATTAAATCTCATGCATTTTTATGACTTTTTGGATTATTGAAAATTTGAAATTATCTTAAATTTTAACGGTATAAGTAAATAAGTAGGCCCCCAAAAAAGAAGAGAGAGAGGATAAGGCAGGGTTTTAATTTTTTAGATATTTAAAAATATGTGAATATTTATGTATTATATAAATACTTTATTTATATTAGAACCCAACCTTTTTATATAGAATCTTATTTCCCAATGACACGTACTTTAACTATAAACCCAAGTAGAAATAACCATAATTATGCAGATCTCTCATCAATGGAGGAAGAAAGAATATCAATTCTTGGACATATCATCAGAATAAAGGGGGGAAAGAAGAGATCGCATAACATGTTAAAAATACTGATTCAGTAAATTAATTAATCATATTAAGGGGCAAAACAAAAAAAACCATAGTTGTTAGTCCTCAAAAAGATCCCTGCAATTTTTAAATTAATTTGTAGCGTAGAAATTCATCAGTTACCTGTCCGAGTATGGCTTGGGGAAGCTTCTCCCTCACAGCATCTTCGAGCTCTTTTCCCAGGGGAGCCGCACCAGACAAGATCAACCTGACAGACGACAGGTCGTATCGATGCAGGTCGGGGCTCTTAGCCAGAGCCAACACTATGGGTGGCACAAATGGCGCAATGCTCACTCGGTGTTTCTGGATCAGCTCCAGTAACGTCCCCATCTCAAACTTCTGTACGATCAAAATCGCAGCACCGACTCGAAGCCCACACAGCAACACAGAGTTCAACCCGTAAATGTGAAACAGAGGCAAAACGCACACAATCACATCGTCGCTTTTAAAATACAGATTAGGGTTCTCTCCATCAACCTGTTGAGCCACGCTTGTTACTAGATTTCTGTGGGTGAGCATAACCCCTTTAGGAAGCCCTGTGGTGCCTGATGAATAAGGAAGCGCAACGACGTCGTCTGCGGGGATATTCAGTGGCGGGAGCCCCCCTTCGTCGGCGTTCGTTAAATCCGAGAAGCGGAGAAAATCAGTCGTCTCGTCGATACTCATCACTTTGATGCCACTCTTTGTCTCTAAATCCTTAACCTTGTCGACGAAGGATGATTGTGTTATGATGAGCTTGGCTTGGGAAGCTGTGGCTTGCTTGGCGACCTCGGCCGGGGTGTAAAATGGGTTGGCCGTCGTGATGGTGGCGCCGAGGTAGGAGGCGCCGAGGAAGGCGAAGACGAATTGGGGACAGTTCTGGAGGAGGAGCATGATGACGTGGCCCTGTTGGATGCCGAGGTTGTTGAGACCGGCGGCGACTTTCCGGGCGGTGTGTTCGACATCTGCGTAGGTGAAGATCTCGCCGGTGTTGCCGTTGATAAGGCAGGGACGGTCTTTGAATAGTGACAAGTTCTGGAAGCAGTAACCGTGCAATGGTAGGTGGGATGGGATGTAAATGTCGGGCAGTTTGGAACGGAAAATGAATTCTTCATCGTCTTGCTGAGTTTCCATCTCTGTTTTTGGTTACTGGGAAAGTGAAGGAAAGTAAGGGGTGGATTTTTCCGGGAAGAGAAAAGGAAGGCGGAGTTCTGATGCTATAAATGGCACGTGCTACTTTCATCCTATTTATAAATTTTTTTTAATAAATTTCATATATATATAATTTTAAATTTTATTAATTCTTATTTAAAATTTAATAATTTTTTAATTTTATTTCTATTAAATATATATTATATCTCGTATAAATAAAATTAATATAATAATAAATAAAAAATAAAATGATATATTTATACAAAATATTCTTTTCAGTGTGGGTCAAAGTAGTCTGTCCAATCTATAAAAGGGACCAGAGCAACGGTATCTTGCGTGACTAGACTTTCCAAATTCCAATTTAAGTTTCGCTCAGATCTGGTTGTGTGGTAATATAGAAGTGGGTGGAGCCGTAGAGCCGGTTGGGTGGGCTTATTTGGTATTTTACTAATTTGCAAAGGGTAATCAAGTCTTCTCAATTAGTGCAGATCATAGACCCGCCTGACAACTCTGAGTTAAGTAGTTCACGCAACTGCCCTTTTTTTCCCCTTCTTACTGAGATTTTTCGCACTGCATTAAATGGAGAGATAAAATTTTAAATTTTAATAATTTTAAATTTTTTTTATTTAGTATATATTATACTCCGGGTAAACAAAGTCAATGTAATAATAAATAAAAAGTAAAATTATATATCTATATAAAAAAATTCTCTCAATACTCTATAAATATAACTAAAAAATATTTTATCTCTCTACCTATAAGTAGGACAAGAGGAGTAAGTCACATAAAGAGAGATATATATAAATCAAATATATAAGTGAGATGTATTTTTTGTCCTTAATTTGTGCACAGAAATTATGATAATCCTCTTCGAATCATTTCAGTTTTATCGGATGTCTTGTAAGAAACTATGTGAGGTGTATTATTTTTGTAATACTAAACTACATTTCGAAGCTGTTTATTTGTTCTTGTTCACAGTAAATATTTAGTTTAATTAGCTTGGTGCATTTCGGTGTTTCTCATCCAAGTTGGTCATAATCTATAAAGAAAAATAAAGAAAAGAGTGAAGTGCTTACCAAAACAAGAAAAGAAAAGAGCTTGGCATGACTAAACTAAAAGGTCGGCACATTAGTTACAAAATCAATATAATATATATATATATATCAAATTAACTAAATATAATATATTATATAAAATCTGTTAAAAAAAGCCGTATTTGTTATAACTCACCCCAAACGCTATTTCAAACACAGGACTGGCTATACAATTAGAATAAAATACAATAACCTTCATTTAAATTTTCTAAAATTAAAGTAAAATCTCCTCTATTTTTAAAACATATACTTTAATTTAATTTTTATCATTCTTAATAACATTCGTTAAAAATTTTAAAAGGCTTAATTTTATTAATTAAAATTTTGTTAAAAAAAATTAAAGTTATTAATTTTTCCTCTCTCCAATTTAAAGAATTTTAATAATTATGTATGATGATATTTAAATAAATGTATGGTAAAATTAGAATTATATTCACCAAGCTATGGGAATCAAAATTGTCAAACGTATGGACCTTGGGAGCATAAGTAATTGAATGCACTCGGAGTTTCTCATTCAAGTTAGACATCATATAGTCCCAAGAAGGGGAAAGAATACTACAAACATCAAAGTATGATGAGTACTAATAACGTCGGCACTTGAAACAAATTAGTTAAAAAATGAATACATCAATATCCCAATATTATACTATAAATTTTATACAAAAATTACACTATTTATAAAATATTAAATATAATTTATTTTTAGACAGAATAATGTATGGTTTCCCTAAAACTTCATGTAAATGGATATTTCACATCTCTCAATTGTGTTTCAATGATAAGTGATTACCTCTCGTTAGTGCCAATCAAACTGGGCCAAAGGAGACCAAATGTATGCATATATCATTATTAATGCATGATGTTGTAAATCATATATGTTGAGAAGCTAGCATGCTTATCATGATTATATTATCACTTATCTTATCAGAGTAGGGCTAAATGTTATTTTTAACTGAAAAATAAATCTAACTTAAATTTGCAAAAATGAGGTAAAATAAAAGCCAATTCTATTACCACTAATTCAATAATACACCCTACCAACAAAAGATGGTCTACCGGTATGAAGTCCACCTAAATTCTCTTAACTCTCGAGTTTGATTTTATAGGGAGGGAAGTCACAAACTTTAAATCGGATTAACTGGATCATTATGTGTGTGTGTGAGTTCGAACAATACACTCTGAAAAGGTTGGCATGTTAGCTTTTTCCCAGCCCACAGGTCAGCCCCCGGTTAACAAATTAGTACAGCAATATCCACATACCATGTAAAATTTATTTTCAAAAAAAGTATATTATCTAGGATTCAAATTAAGATCTTTTACCAAGGGAGCTCTTTCATATATTCTCTTGCGATAAAAGAAATTATCTAAAATGATTCGTTCATTTATCCTCCATTAAGGTGAGCTCTTTTATTTATAGTGAAACTCCTCGCCTGCATCTCATGATTTGCATATTCACTCTACGGATGAGAATATGATCAAATTGCTTCAGCAGCAGCTAAGCATCCAAGATCATATTAATGGCCTTTTGAGAGATTGTTTATGTAACACCTCATGTTTAAATCAATTAACTTTCATTGCAGAAGCATTTGGAATCACTTTTGAAAGCTACAATTGATGAAAAATCAAGTTTGAAAATTTTCATTTATGGGTTACTATTCATTGTCACCTTAAAATCTGACAAACTTCGAAAGTTCATAACTAATTGTAGAAAAATTGAAATTGAGTGATTCCAAGTTCTACAGAAAGTTCTTTGGATAAAATTTTGAGGAAAAATAGTTTCTGAACTGATTGCCTTGAAATTCGAGCTCAATTTCCTTTGAAAAAGTTACTGTTTATTTGGTTATTTTTCTGATTTTACTGTATTTTTGCCTAACTTTGAAAACGCATAACTTTCTGCTCGGATATCAGAATCGGACACACTACCCCTCATTTTAAAGAGAAACATCAGATCTCTTTGTTTACCAAATCTTATGACCTAACTCAATCATTTGGTAGGTCAAACTGGAGCTACAAACTCACTGCTCCAGGACTTACGTTTTATCCCTTAACATTTCTTTAATTCTTTTTATTTCTTTGGCATACATAACATGGTCTTATTCTTTCCCGTTCATGCTCATACACTTTCATTCATACCATAAATATTATAATTAAATACATGACATCATTGGCATCCATAACATAGTTCATAAAATAGTAGAATTATACATTTATCAACAGTCTCATCCATTAACAAGCTTACTTCTCCTTGCTTCTCATGTCATTATTGTCCATCATTGATTGACCTAAATAGTTGGTTAGGGAGGGGTGAGATTCGGGGGAATCTCAGTAGCAAACATTACCCATGAGCATGCAAGACATAATGCACATGCATGACATGTTATAACATTAACACATGAATGCCATGGAAAGTAAGCTAAAGCATTTCATGCTTCCATAACATATTGCCAAGGCAAAACATAACATAAACTTGCAAACATAACTTTGCAAACATTTCATCATAGCTTAGTCACATCATGGCAACACAACCACATCATGCAAGCATACATATCAAGCACACAGTATAGGTAAGTTCACTACCTTGTAACATGGCTTTCCCCTTGCTTTTCCTTTGATTCCCTTGTCTTTCCAACCATGTGGACATTCGGTCAACATCACCAAACATCCTCTTGGATGTTCCAAAGGTCCTAAACATAGTCACATTGATCATACAATCCATTAGGACCACTAGATTACATAAAGTTCAAGACTAGCTTTCTTAAACCTCAACCCTTTCTCTTAGTCTTAGGGTTTTCTTTCTAACTTTTCTAACATAAATCATATCATTTCCCATCCTTAATATCAATTTCTTGTTAATGAGGACCACTTTAGATGGCCGTAGATTCAAGAATACCAAATCTGGAAATTTTGCTTCGCGGGTACTGTTCACGCAGAATTTCCAGAATTTTTACTCAACTTTGAAAATTCATAATTAATTCTAGAAAAATCCAAATTGAGTGGTTCCAAGTCTCACTGAAAGCTCCTTAAGTTAAATTTACAATAAAATTAGTTTCATGAACCAATTCTATGCCGAACAGCACCAAAATTGTACAGAAATCAAAACTCTTCCAAAAGTTCAACACTGTTTCCAGATTTCAAACCCTAACTTTAAAAAAGTCACCATAAATTGTACATATATCCAAATGAAGTGTTCTACCCATGGATTTAAAGTTCACAGAATGTACTTTAAGCATGCAAAATTTCAGAATCAGATACGCACAGTAACTAATCCGAAATAGGCATAAAATCAGGTGCTATAACCATCACATACCTTGTTTTAGAGTTTGATCTGGCTTGGAACCACTTGGCCTTTCTTTCTCCCTCTTCTCTCTCTCTCTAGAAACCATTTTGCAAGAGCTTCCCCATGGATTCCTTATGCTTGGACGAAATGGTAGGGAGGGGAGGGGGTATTTATAGAAAAGCAGACTGAATCTGGACCATTGATCTTAAAAATACGTGGCTCGATCTGGACCGTCCATTTTCTCTTTTGATCTTACAGTGACAAGTGTCCTATGACATCATGCTTACCTCATCATGATGATATCATGCTTACATCATCAAGCCACATGTCTTTAATCCAACTGCACATGTGTCTTGCATCCGACCGTACATGTGTCTTCCATCTAGTCGTATACGTAATATTTTCTTTTTCTCGTCTAACCATACACTTGTCACTTTCATGTCATTTCATCATTTATGGCATTAAAATAGGGAGAAAAATAAATGAAAAATTCGTGCAAAAATATTTTCTTAATTATTTCTCCACCTATCAAGCCAATCTTGCACCATATCAAATACTTTTCGAGTCTTGACTTATCTTGTACCGTTAGGACAACTTCTTCTTAAAATTTTGGCCAATAAAAGGTACATATATGGCGCCATCTTAGAAGAGCATAGATGAAAATAATTAG